GCCGTCCTAACTCGAACGTATATGCCGCCGTTCGTTTCCCTGCGAAATTAATTCGAGCCCGCGGGAGCTCGCCCAAAGAGGCCGGACTGCCCACCGGCACGCCAGTAATATTTCAAAGTGGTGAAAACCTGCCGATACAATGGCGATGTCGGGACTTGTCCTCTCTTTTAGGGCTACTAAATAAATTAGCCAGCAGGTGTGACGCCCAATCGTGATCGGTTTATCGAGCAGTTTTTCACGTCTCATTCGCGACGAAGCATTTTTATCGTTTAATTTAGAAGTGTCTGATAATGGCTATTGTTACTACTTTATGTTGCTTGGCATATTGTTATCTGTATTCTGTTGTCGAAAAAAAGTGTAATTATTGCGCATATAAAAATATATTTATTAATTAGTGTTCTTTATTAATAATTATGCTAAATCACAAATATGAAAAGAACGGTCGGAAAATATTACGGATATACACATAAGGTAAGGAATGGTCCATAATGAGGCCCATAACGGATAGCGGGCATTTAGCGAAGAGCACGGTATTTCCTGCGCTCGTGATTATGATAGTTTAATCGTCGACGTACTAATCGCAGCTCGTGATCTCGAGAATGTCCCTGCTGCGGGCAAGCGACGATGATACCACGTCGTTCGGGTGTACGGTGCCTGAATACGAAGTGCGGATCCCGGTGACTGAATCCGCCTCGGGGGGTGGTTTACAGGACAAGGGGGCAATAATCCCCGGGTGGCGGCGGTTCGACCAATATTGCGAAAGTTTCCGAGCTTGCTCTTGGAGCCGACTGTTAAAGTTCAGTCGGTCGTCTCTTCCGGAGACGACTGACACACGACCGCGAGACAATAAGGAATGCGACTCGATGTTCTGCAAAAGTCGCTAAGACATTGACGGATGCTCGCCATTTTTTCCTTGGAATATATTACGTTATATTTTAAGAGCGAAGTGCGTTTCCCCGCGCGTGTTTGTCCGTTCGCCAGACAACAATCGTGTACATTATTAAATGTCCCGTGCTCAAGCTGCATCTATCATCAGATAAAACTAAAAGTAATTCTATAAATTCTGTACGCAAATTTTTTACAGTACAATATATTGTTCTACTTTATATTGTTATAAAATCTAAACTTTTTTTTTAAATTATTTAATAAATATCAAAATAATGAAGATTAATAAATCTAGGATTAAATGAATAGGAAAAGATGTCTACGTTTTCAAAATTAATTTTATTTTATTATTGCTTATTATTATCAGATATAAAAATATAATAATTTATTTTTGTATCGAAAAGCGGTTTTAATTTTTGGGTTTAATATATTTATTATTGCTCCCAGTGTCAATTAAATCGATTGCCACCATATGCAGATCATGTGAGTCTAAAATTAATTGATATAAAATATTGTTGTACAGTATTCTTTTTTTTGTGATTTACGCAATCTGTGATTCCGATAATATTCTTTTACGCAATCTGTGATTCCGATAATATTCTGCGGAATTGAAGAGTTATTGAATAGAATTATTAAATGGTTGCTTTGATATTATTTGCATTGTAGGAACATTAAAACAATATGACGTGAGAAGTTTAGAATACAATTGAAGAGTTTAAGAATACAGTACATGTTTTAGAATACAATCTACAAATCATGGCCCGATTTAAATATTATTTCAGTAAAGTGGATTTTTATTAGAGATGGATTTACTCTGCCTTACGTCTGAAAATATAAGTGTCCAACTCAAGAGTCGTTACTGGAGGAAGAATTACATAATAAAACCTTTGTCGATTTTGTGCGACACGTAAAGCAGTATATGCATATAGGATCATAATGCTCGAAAATTTGGCCGTAAATGATGAATTCCGATGAGACCTCGGGGATATCAAACTCCAGCGGAATATCCCATCCTGCGCGCGCCCTAAAACACCCGTTAAAAGGATGGGTGCAACTGTAAGTGAGAAAGAGATAGCGGGCACTCCCAAATCGCTCAAACTTCCGGCGTTGGTTCGGCAGATGTCTACAAGGCGACGTGTAACTGCGAATGTGGCATAACGTGCTTGCCGTAACACTAGATAATACCTGCGGTTGGCCGTAAAGGGAGCTCACAAACGACTTGCATGCTTTTCCTCCCGCTGCATTTTCTCTATCGCGGCGCCCCAACGACCGCGCGCGCGGGAATGCGCGAGGAAAAGTTCGCGCTAGGAAACGCCGCGTCGAGTGTAGACGTGCTATGTGCTACCGTTGCTACGTGTCCGCTTCCGGTTTCTCTGGACGAGAGAGCGGTCCTCAGCCGCGCGGGATTGTTTGCGAAATTCCTGCGGAACGCGTTGTTAAATACACACTGTCGCCCCAATTTTGTGAGATTTAATTTGCGAAGCTATATCGCCGGCAAAAGGATTAGCATGGTTATATCCGGATGAAGGGCGGCAAAATTACAGTCAGCAGAAATACTTAAATCTACAGTTGTAGATAGCTGCAGACAATTTAGTGTTACTCCTTTTGTGCGTATCTTTTAATAAAAATGCGTCATTCACAATATTATATTTTAGAAATGTAGCTAAATTTTGATGAAAATATTTACGGAAAGATAAAGAGAAACGTCACGATTAAGTGTGATTTAAATTAGATATTTCAATTAGAATGCGTGAACGCGCCTTATCTCTCTCAAGCTGTAACAAAGTAACAATTCGATAGTAAGAATGCTGATAGTAGAGGGTAAAGTTCAAGAGTCTCTGTAAAATGGAAACGACCTTTGGATAACGGCGTACGATTACGAGAAGGGAAATGACTCTCGCATTTACAATAGTTTACATTTTACAATAATCTTGAACTCTGATGACCGTCAGCGGTGCGAAATGGAAAGCCAGATTGTACTGCCGGTACGTGCCAATTCGCTCTGCCGAGGTTTCACACAAATGCGATTTTCAACTGTGTGTCCGTGGGTAAATTTACCCAAGGGTGTATGGATAAATATGCGACTATTCTCTTTTTTCGTACATGAGGATTACGACAAGTAGTTTACCATCGGGCGAATGTTTGCTTGCTACCCTGCGGTCGATGGAATACTAAAGTTCTCTGCAAGATTAGTATTTGCTCTGCAACTGAATTGGAATTGTACTACAACAAGCCAAGAAACGAAAATATATAAAGTCAATTGCTTGAAGTTAATAAATTAATTAATTCTTTTATAATGCGTCTTTACGTATTATATGTATAAGTAATAAATGAAATTTTTGTGGAGTAAGAGGATGTAATTTTTCTACAATTTTATCAATATTCAGTACCGTTAGTATTGTTAGTAATTTTTATTTTTCTCATTATTGTAACGACAGATTTATATGACAACGTTAATAATTTTTTTCAATTATTTTGAAGAATGGTTTCAATTACTTCGCACTAAAGTCGTTAAAACGCAACGAACGGGGAAAGAAGTAATTCGCGGAGCGCCTTGTGTGTGTACACAACCCTCAGGGGTGAAGGATTTCGATTCGCTTCGGAGGGGAGAAAATCGGCCTAAGCAGTTCGCAGCACATCACGTCCCCATATAATAACGGATCGTGGTAACTCATAGGTACGCGTCACCGCTCGGTAAGCTCGCAATCTACGAGGGTAGATCCCTCATACATTTTCCAAGGATCTTTACGGGTTTCAGCAGCCTGCGCCGTGTGTACTTTAATTAGCTCGAGGTTCCTCGTCTCGTTTGGCTTGACGGTACCTTTCAACCTTCCGGCGACCGATTCCAAGCGAACATTTGCGAAATTGTCTCACGCGCCCGTGCACGGGCCTTATTTGCCCCGAACTTTGGGAGAGCTGGAAGTTACCCGAAATCGAAGTTTCGTGGCAAAGTGACAGCACTACGCTATCTGAAATCTTAATGGAAGTGACGACACGGTGATTACTTCGCCTCGTCGATGGCGAACCTTATCGCTTGGGATGTGTCACTATCGAATGTTTGATTTAGGAATGACCGACGATCCGCCACCTATTTTCGTCGTAATTGGATCGTAATATGTAGCAGATATCGGTTGATGTGACGAAATTATAATCTACCTTGTTTTTATCGCAATACATATAGGATGAAAATGATATTCTCGTAAACAGAAAAAGTTTGAATGTCTGATTTGTAATAGAAGTTAATAATAAACTATTATATTTATTATTTTCTTCTCTTTAGGGTGGCAATTCATAGACAAGTATATACATGTATATGAAATGTTATATATAGAAGCGGGGCATAACGTGTTTATTCGAAAAGATATTAAAAACTCGTTTAATATTCATATACATGTCAGACATGATTTCTTTTAAGAAAAACGATTATATTATGAAGGAAAATGTATCATACTTTAACTTTAGTAAAGTTGCGCGTAGTAACTTTTTATCAATGTCAAACCAGGGCAAAAGAGCTATTAAAATGTACGACTGTAAAATCGAAGTTGGATCGTAAAATCAAACTACAATAGATTGCAATTACGTATTTTAATTTTAGATGTTATCCAAAAAACTAAAGGAAATCGCCTCGTACGGAATTAATTTTACATTTTAAGAGAGTGAGAAAGAGAGAGAGAGAGGGGGGGGGAAGGGGAGAAGAAGCTTGTATTGTAAGTAAATTAATTTTAATATTCATAATTTAATTACCATTTATAAGTCTATAATAATTTTTAATTGATTATTTTTTCATATAATTACAAATAATCAGTTATATAGAATCGTAATAATTTTTCTAAAATATTGTTCAGTTATTCCTTAAGATATTATTAATTAATATTGTGCTGGTTTTGCTAACTGCTAACTAATTGCTCGAGATAATTTCAAAGGGCAAGTATGTGCACACGTGATTCGTGCATGTTCTAAGGTTCAAACCGATCAATTCGTCGGTGATGATATCCGTTGGAAAAACGAAAAATAGATAAACAATCGTTTGTCTGCAAAGAGGGAGAGAGGGGGAGAGAGAGAGAGAGAGAGAGAGAGAGAGAGAGAGAGAGAGAGAGAGAGAGAAAATAAGTATTGTTTCTTCAGCAGTATCGTCGATTCATCGTGATCACGTTGGGAGCGCGACAGGCGTATGAGTGAAGGCCGTGCGAAGATAACTTCACACCGCGCTCGCGGGCGGAGATAACTTCACATCGTTCGGCGGGTACGTGCTCTCACGCGTGAGTCGAGGAGAGGACTCCTTCGTTATCGGTATCAGTCGCCCGTTGTCGCCGCGCGTGCACGTCTCACTAACTCCGGAACGCGTGTGCCGGCTCCCGCTCTCGCTCTTGAATCTCTCTCTCTTTCTCTCTCTCCTCTCTTTCCTCTTACTGCGCCGACAAGCGTGACTCGTGGCGCGCTGTGTACCGGGGTCCATAACACGCGTGCTTCTATGCTCTACGTCGTCGCGCGCGATACGACAACATGACGGCCGAGAACGGGCACGGTGACTCTCGGATGCGAGCGCGCAGGACGAAGAGCGTCACGAGGGCGGAGGAGATCCAGAAGGTGGAGCAGAAGGTCCGCAGATCGCAGCCTGACAAGCCGTGAGTACGCACTGTCACAGAGACTGCCTTATTCCGCCGCTTTCGCCTAGCTCGCGCGCGCCTCGAGCCTCTCGGCGTTTCTCCGCGTATCGTGTTGCATCGCGATGATGATACATCGTTAATCGGAAGGGCGTAGACGAGCACGCGGAGCACGCCGGCGACGTTCACGTGCGGATCGTGAACTTGTCTACGGTAACGTTCTCGCCAAGTTACGCAGCGACGCGAGATTTTTCGTCAGACCTGTCGAGAAACGCACGACGTAACAAACGCGTTTAGTTTAACGTGCGCATGCCCGTCCGTATCGTATCTGGCGATGTGCCACGAGAGGGGATACCCCATTCTTGGCGAACGCCGCTCCGTCCTGCTCCGTTCCACCGTTCTGCCATCCCACTCCGATGCGTGCTGTAATCGATGCCGGAGGTCAGCTGCCCGGCCCGGCGCCGCGACATCCTGCGTGCGCGCGGCCGATCGGGCCTACAGCGAGTTTCACAGACATCGGAGGTCGCACGTTGCGCCGATCGTGAAATAATGAACTCTGAACATGCATGCCTCTAATGTTGGAGAAAAAAAAAAGAATAGCTGCGTACCGCAAAATTATTGTTTCCTCGTTTCGATTTTCGATTTTCACATTCCCACGGTTGCACACGATTTCCTTCGTGACGTAACGTTCTTGAGGGCAATGCGGATTGTTTAAGATTATCAGAGCCTGTACCTATTGAATATGACACGCGATATATTTCTACATTTAAAAGTTCTTATTGTAGTGTTTCTACAATAGAGTCGGTGTAGTAAGATTGCTAAATTACGTAACGAGGAATTATAAAAATATGGACAAAATTGTTCTGAGTTTATTATGTGACGTGAAATTAACATATTGCTTAATACGGAGTTTAAATATCTTGAGATAATGTTTGGAAGTCATATTTTATTCTAATAGGTTTTTTTTTATGACATGCAAAAGCATGATTGTCAGAGAATCGCATGCGAATATCATTCATGCATTTTTACGTAATACAGATAGGTTGAGTTTTATTTCTTGAGTAACATCGGCGATATCACTATTACAGACATCAAATTTTATTTCTAAAGTTCAGAATGAACTGCTTTGTCATGAATATCAAACTAATTTTAATTATGTGTAAGATAATAAAAAAGAATATGATTTATATAAAATCAAAACCATTTACATTTATTGTATAAATTATATGTATAATATAGTATATAAAATGTTTAATATGTGCAATAATTTTTTATTTTTTGCAATTTAAAATTTGCAATAACATCATTAATCTTTGCTTCATGCAAAATGCGTCGTACATATTATGCACGTATTTATGTGTACAACGCAATTTTATCCTTACGTACGTATATACGTTAGTTAACCGTGACTTCGTAAATAATAAATGTTCTTCAATTGACCTCGACATTGCAAGAAACAGCATTGAAACTGTTGTTACAGCTCGTTGAATCCACAGGGTGTAAAATTAGATGTCTGCATCGAGGAGTATCGATCATTTCTGGTATAAGCAATTGTTCCGAAGTTTTAGACACTTGTCTGACATTCTGGACTGGACAAATCTCATTCGTCAACCTGGGCTAAGTTTCTTCCCGATTGTGTTATAATTAATGCGCGCTCCTTGCTATTTCAGAGCTGCAACATCGAAACCATCTATTCCATTCTGTCGAAGTGTCTATCAACGAAGTCGAGTTAGAGACTTTGGCTGTATTATGCTTACAACTTCGAATGTAAATCAATCTTTAACGAGATCGCATCGAATTTGAAGAACTTGGAGAATAGTCTTGAGAGAAATGTAAAATTCAATCTTATAAAATATTCTAGTTTGACTGTCAAGACGATTGTAAAGAAGAATCATATATAAAATATTAAATAGGAGGTGAAGGAAAGGGAAAGAGGATTATAATACGGAATACTTCAATTTGATCGAGAAAACTCTACACGGATTTCTTTCGTTGATTTATATAGGATTCAACTTTATAATATAATATATGTATGTATTATAACATTCGAGGGGAAGGCTTTAATTTCTTTATAATGCTATATATATCACGTTTCGTCAGTTTAATCCTATTTGTGGTAGCTATTATTATTTTAATCATCCATTTCAACAGAATGAGTTCAACAGAGAGAATTAATAAAGTCAGTTCTTATACAAAAATTCTTACACGTGTTTTACGACGAGATAAAAACTTGTATCACAATCAATCAGTATAATAACAATAACTAGCATTTATGGTAACGTTCAATATTCATGAGCACCCGGTATGTGTACGAAGTCGAAGGATATCCAGTTTATTGATTTAATGTGTGATGGATTTCATTGAAGAATTAAATATTTTTTATATGTAAAATTGATATCCAAGATTGTGTTTGATAATATATTAATTGAATAATTTATACGAATTCATATTATACTTACAATTAGTCTATCGTTTTCTGATAATTAATCTATCAGTTATTGGTCTATCAGTTATTACGCGTTTTTTTACGAATGAGTATGAAGAAAATATTTTAATTACAGAAAATTTTACACCATGGAAATATCAGCATAACTAACTATTTCTCTTTTGAGAGCAGAGAGATAAATTTTTTTTAATAAATTGCGCGTTGTAGCGAAACATTTATTTTCAACTAATTGAAATCAGACGAAACAATCTTGAATGTATATCGAAAAGCGCAAAACGCAAATAAATAAAGTTGTCGTTCTGTAAAATATTTTTACTCAAATAATATTGGTAAAATGAAACGGTGTTGTAAAGAATAACGCGAAAGTTTTATATTTCCAATCTGAATGTTTCTCCCAATATTATGTTATATTTTTATTGTATTTAGATATCAGCGAATATTATATTATATTTTTATTGTATGTACAACTCAATACTTCTGATAATTAATTTCACGAGCAAGTTTAACAAACGGTATTCTCCAAAATGAAAAAAATATTAAACTTATAAAAAGCTTAGAGCAACATAAATTTATACTGTCGAATCACAATAGAAATCGTATGAATGATTTGAAATTACGATTCTGTCTCAACGGGTTAATGCTCGACGTATTCGGGAGCGTCGTTTCCGTCAATTAGATATCGCAAGATCGTAGGTCAAGGTTACGGACAACGAACTTTCGATCACGCGAATGCACAAACAGCGTTTAAACGCCTCCGTGCACCCCGGCGCGCGTAATTAACCTCTGGGTCGTACCGAGATTTTGCTTTAACTCCTCGGCAACCCCTTCGCAACATAGTCGTCACTCTTCAGTGGCTTCCGGAACCGCTGACGTTCCATAGAGTGGAATGCGTGGCGAAGTATGCGCACCGGAACACCATCTTCCTGTGCCGTTAATTAAAATGTTAATTCGAGTGACGCGGTAAAATCGTTCTGATGCGACATTGTCGCTAAGATTTTTCTTATCGGCCTACTCCGTTTCATATATATCAGCGAGTCTTCTTACATAAAAATGAAAATATAACTCACTTATTTTTACATATTTCTTTCTTAATGATCATTTGTTATTTATTTATTATTTCTGTAGATTATTAATTCTTTACAAAACAAGAATAATTTTACAAAATCAAGTATAATGTGAACTTAAATTATTCTTTAATTAAATCAATTTATATATATATGAAAATAAAAATGGAAAATATTAAAAAATTTTATTTCTCGAATTTTCATTTTTAAATTTTATTAGTAACACAACGTCTGTATTTATTGCTTTATCTTTTATATTTTAGTATTCATTCATAAAATTTTGTTTTAGTTATTTTTTATTGAAAAAGATAATGTGTTATTTATTTGATTAATAATGTTGTAGTTTGAAATATAATCTTCGTATATTTATATTATTTCTTCCTCTTTTTTTCTCTGTCTCTTGTACGCGTTCTTTACAATATTTCTTATTACAAACAGACTTTTGTATACGTTTGCACGTTTTTTATGTGAATTTAGAAACTTTTGTTATCAAGATAAACATTCGATTGGCCAAATATTCTATTGGCAATAGAATTTAATGGTCCATTTATGATTTAATTGGAAATAGAATATATATATATATATATATATATATATATATATACACATAAGTAATTATTATTATTAACAATTTTTATTACTAAAACAAGTTAGTAATAATATGCTCATAATTCATAAATAAAAAATTATCATGCTTTAAGTCTTTGTGGATTGTTTTCTATAAAAACATTTTTAATTGTTAAGTCATCAAAATTATTGAAATTGTGCTACAAAGTTTCGTCTTGGAATGGAGTATTTCAATGGCTATCAAATATTTGGGATCGATAATTCGATCAATTAAAAAAATAATCGTACAAGC